AATACGAATTTATCCGTAAAAAATAATCACAAAATATGTTAGCAAACACTTGATTTAATCTTTAAAGTTATATCCAAAAGGCATTGCTCAAAAGCGTGAACTTTAATAAATATTTGTGAGTCCGGCTACAAATACACCACGTGTTCCCATTCTCGAGGTCCACCTTCTGAGCGTTGGTATGTGCATATTGTGTTAAACCTTAGGGCGAAACATGACTTTGACTAACGTTGCTGCTGCATGTAAATGGCACCATGCCGCACGCCAAGCCAGCCGAAACCGAAGCCGAGGCCCGGACCCAATCCCAATCCCAATCCCACTTTCAATCCCGAACCCAGGCCACATCGGAGGAGACCATGCCACACGTTTCCCCGTAATCATCCATTATCCTAATGCCAGGTCCATGCCTAGGTCCCCCGAGTCTGAACCATGTGTGTGTGTGCACTGGTCGATTGGATTACGCCTTTAACCTGCGTACACTGCTCGACATTTTGTAGCCGTAGCAGCGACATTTATTAATGGTGCGACAGGAATTTTATTTTGGCCCACTTCCAGGCAGTGGCCGAGATGATTGGTGTAATCGTTTTAATTGGCCATTTAAGGGGGCAATCAATCGACATTTGAAAAACTGTAAAATTCATGCGTCACTCTACCTGCAACTGCGGGCAATTACGGGGAACCACATTCCTCCCACATTCACCACGTATAATTTAAATGTTTGATTCATTTTTCAACCCATTCTGCCTGCCCGGCCAAAAAATAATCGTGTACCTCTGACGACATCTGCTGCGATTCTCAGATAGTCAGACGTACATAGTTCACACAGGGGGTCCTGAAATCAATACTCATAAATTAAAGTCATAAAATGGCGACAAACCATACAGTCAATATAAATAGAAGCCAGACACGAATTTTCAAATGCCACAATCAGTCGGTGAGGTAGAATCAATCGATTCACCTGTTTTACTGGCTGTCATTTTATGGCTGAACTTTGAAGAAGGATATGGACAGAAAGGGTAACGTTTAAAGCCAGTGTAGGTAATCAAGCAATGGTTAGCTCTTACGTCCGTTTAGAGTTCAAAGTGCGCTCTGTAATTGTCATGTGTGTTTCTCATTAAATTAAGGTGAGATGCGGTGGCTACAAATCAGGAGCAGAACAGATCGGACAAGTTTGCGATGGCAAGGCACTTGACAGCATCCGCAGACGCGGCCTCCAGGCTCATTTGAACTTTCACAAACAATAAAATCGTCCTAAATATTACATGAGACCGTGTTGCGACCCCGTGACTGACAGACAGACAGGCCAAATAAGTCAAATAAGTCCACCAGATTCGTGGCTGATTTTCAAACAAGCCAGCACAGACTAAATTGAAAAAAACAAGTTTTGCACTTGAATCGGCAAACATTTGCGCACTCATTGCGGAACTGATTGTTTACCCACAGACTAACCCAACTTTTGCACCATTAAAATTTCATTAGAGTTTCGCTCTAGCCTGTAATTATGAATGAAGTCAAGCAGACAGTTGCCCAAAAACTGTAGTAAACTTTTACTATGAAAGAGTTAGCTGGTTTTGTTTAAATATCGCAATACAGTCAACTAAAATTGATGGTTTTGTTAAGTGATCGCTGAAGTTGATTTCGTGTAGCATAAAATCAAAACCTTTCAACCCTCAACCTTGAAACTATTAAAAATTTCATAAATACCCTTGATAGTTTTTTATTATTTAAAGGAGTATATCTCTTTCGGTTCATAGATAACTTTATTTATTAGAATTATGTAAAAACAAATTTCTATCTACTACACTTTCGGTGATTTTATTTTTATATCTTAAATAGTTAGCTAATCATTAAATTGTTTGCTTCATATTTTCGGTAAAAAAATAATATTTGCCGAAGAGGCTTTCCTAGCAATATACTTTTCAGAATTCTTCAATTTGCTTGCCTTGTATAACTTCCACAGGAAATCATTTGTATGGTACAAAATAAGATATTAACTTTTTATTATTGAGAAATTTCGTGGGCTAGAATAGAAATTTCGAATGAATTTTGTAGAAATTCAATTAGTTAAAAATGGCTTTAAGTAATGGGAAAAGTTCAATGAGTGACGCAACCTTAACTTTTAAAGAGCTAATTACAAGGACATGATTAACTTTGCCAGCTGCTCCAATTGCATTTGTCATGCATAGAAGGCGGTTCAGAAGTCTTCAACTGTCACTCGACACTGCATCTGTGTACTGCCGTCGAGGTGCAACCGCATGGTGAGGAGCTCTCAAAGGATAAAATGGGGTGGATGGTGTATCATGTTGTTATGTTGCACATAATTATATCAGAGCCGCGAAAGTTTCCCGGCAATTTTGTTGACTGCCACTCAGCCAGCCGGCGCTGGAGGAGAAACTTTTATGATATACTGACACTGGCAGGCGGCTAATTAGATATTCTATCGTTCTATTTAATGCACTTGACTCGGCCGGCATTCTTGGGATTCCTTGCCAAGTGTTGTGTCACTTTCTATCCGGCTCAACTACCCCTTTGCCGGCAATTTGCCGGACTTAAGACCAAAGGAATTCCAATTTAAATCGAATTTTCGGCATGGCATGTGAAAGGCATGTGGAATTCTCTCTATTTTCCAGGCCGACGGCTGGCCAAGTGTGTCGATGCACTGACTCAGAGAGCTTGACATACAAATTTGTGGTACATTTATTGGCTTGTTTGGTCAGTCCGCACACATGTGGATAGAACGCGGGAAGGGGGGTCAAAGGGCAAGAGCAAGAGAAAAAGCCAAAGATTTTTAAATGTTAAGCTGACTCCTGTCTGACTGTCGGGGCCACTGACACACATATACACATTATTTGCACAGCTGGTGAACTGAGACCGACCGGACTTTCGGTTCCGCCCCTGAATCCTGAATCATGCCCTCGTGCGGTCGACTCGGTGCGCTTTAATTTGCTTTATTTATTACACATTACCAGACCAATTGCAGGGCACAGCTGGCCGCCTCTTAGCCTCAACGATAACTTATGCAAAAAGTTAAAACTTTAAATAAATAAACTTTGGGGCGGAGGCTGTGCTTCTGTGCTCCTTCGCTGCTCACACGTAACAATTTGCGAGGTAAACATGGCTTTATTTTAGTTTCAATTTTCGCTTCGTTATTTTTCTACACACTCACACAAAGGGCTGCTGTTTGTTTTTAGATTGCAGCACGGCGTTGCATGTTGTCTTTGGCCGTCGTCTTTTTGCCGCCATTTTACGCTCGTTATGGCAACACTTTGGCTCAAAAGCAAACGACAGCCCCGAACACATCTCAAACGGCGGCCGCGTTTGCACAGCGAGAAATAAAAAAACGCATCTCCATCGCGGGGGTAACTGCGGGCTGGCTGGATGGCTGGATAGCTGGATAGCTGCCTAGATGGTTGGTAGGAAAAAATCATTTCAAGCAAAAACAACAAGGGAAATGCGGAAAACGCCTTGGCGCCTTTCCTTTCGGGCCCCTCCGCTTTCCCCAACCATTTCCCCCTGCCGTTTGTCGTCTGTGTTTGCCTGCATTCGCTCCGTTGACTGGCAACTTTCATCGCCTCGGCCTTCGTCCTTCAACCTCTTGCCACCCACACGACGCCCACGTGATTGACTGCAGTGCGACGTGTCTCTTTCACAGAGAAAAAAAGGTGCAGGGTATATAATTCTTCACTTAAAAATGTTAAATGGAATATGCACCTGTATTTCAAAACTCATCCCTTTAATCACACCTGAACTGGGACACTCTTTGTTCCTATTCAATTTCATTGAATTGACACTAGCAACGAAGTCAAAATTTTATACCTACTAATACAGGTCAACGCTTTAAAACTTAATAAGTGTGTAAATATAAATATAGAGATGAACCCTATTTAATTTATTTAATTTATTTAATTTAACTATTTTTTGCCATTAAATGAATTCACACCCATGGGCTTTTGAAAAAATAAAACGGAGGAGAGAATATGAAAGTCATGTTGTAAATCAATGTTATTTTATTGCCCAATATTATTGAGACACATAATTTGAAGCTACCTTGTTTTGTCAGTGTGTTGTTTTTTTTTTTTTGTTTCTTGTCTGGTAATAATTTTCTGGAGCCACTTTTCCTGCGCCAAAAGATGCGTGTTGCATTGCCTGTCTGCCGACTGTCCGTCCTCTGTCATCGGAGTTTGTTTACATGATTGTGCACAGAATGAGTGTTTGCCCGCTCCGCGTTTTCCTTATCCTGCTGCATTAGCACTCGAGTGTTTGCATTTCCTTTGAGCCAAATCGCAGCAAATTATATTTTTATTGATTCGGCAAACATTTGAGCTGCGCGATTGGTTCGATAGAGGCGCTGCTAGAATGGCAAAGTGAATTAATTTTCCCGCTTGGGATTTTACAGTTTGCATATTGCGCATACGCCACCGACATGGTGGATTTAGATAGCAGAGCGATACAAGGCAAAAACCGCAGAAGGAATAACAGCAACAAGAACAGGAAGAGCGGCGGTAGCGGCCACAACTTTTCGCATTTACTAAAAAACTTTTCAGCATTTTCTTGTTACCCGCCAGTATTCTTCGTTTTGCTACATGGCCATAGACCCACTGAGCAAATTGTAAATGAAAAAGTTTTTATGTTATTCAGTGTTTGCAGGGGGCGGAACCGACGTCTAGCTCTCCCTTTCTGCCCTCCTCTGCCGCCTGTGTCCTTCCATTTGTCGGTAGTTGTTTCTCTCGTTATTGCTGCATTATGTCTATTGTTGTCTATATACATTTTTGTCGAAAGTAATTGTAAATGCTGTTCATAGTTTGACTGTGGCCGTGATGTCCGCTTCCTTTTATTTCCCATAGTATTTTCCTCTGTGGCACTCAATTCGAGAGTTTTCCTTTGCCCAGTTTTCCAGCTTTTGCAATGCTAACAGAGACTGGTTTAAAAGTCAACATTTTGGCATTCGGCTAAGGGAGTTTGCCTTTAAATGTTTAGCTTTAATCCCCGAATTTATTTTTAAGGCAAACAAAAGTGATGCAGTCGCACAAATAAAATAAACACATTTCAAAGCTCAAAGCATGTGTGAACTCCGAAACATGAAAATAATGCCGCACAGTGCTCGAAGCACAAATTAAGCCAGCGGGAGTGGTGAAAACAAATAGAAAAAATCAACTTTAACCAACATTTGAAGTGGCGGAACAGGAGGATAAAACCACAACATGACCCGCTTTCGCATAAAAAACCTGAAAATCCTCTCCTGCTGCCTCAGCCTGTGGGTGGTGCTCTTCGGTGGTGCCCTGCATCTGGCGCAGGGCAGCGAGTTTCCCGAGCGCGAGTGCTGCGACCTCACCACCACCTCCACGGTGGGGCCTCTGCCCATGCCGCCTGCCGCGCTGCCCACCGACAAATCGCTGTCCTCGGCCACAACGGCCTTGGAAACGGATCTGGCCATCGGACGATCTGGTAAGTGGTTAACTGGGTGCACCCTAAATATGTACTTCAAATGGGGAAAAACTTAAATTTCATATTTTGCCCCTTTGATCAGCCAGATTGATAAATGACCACATCAAATACTATAAACATGTTTGGTTTGTAGTTAAATATTATACAAATCGAAAAGACAAAAGACAAAGTAGTTTTGTTTAACTTGTTCACAAAACACTAATTAAAATTACATTTTCAATATTTAAATTAAATTAACAAGCGTAGGACTGTTTTAGAAAATATGTAAATAGTAAAATGTGGGCATCATAAAAAATATATCAAAATATATATGAAATGTTTTTAATAATATTTGCCAAATATTTTGAATGTGCAAGCAATGCTTTCAATAGTGTTTCTATTATGTATTTTAAAAACATATTTATCTGTGACACCCCTTTCAAAATCAAGAGTAACTAAGTTATGCAATAACAAAGATATATTTAGCAAAACTCTTAAACCCTTAACATAATTTATTGCATAAAGCAGAACCACATTTCTTCGACTGCATCAGGCTGCGGTTTGTGGCCCATTGCCTATTCATAGTGGCACTAAAAATGGCCACGTCTAATTACCAAGCGATATTTAATGGCTCAATGAGCAGCTGGAATCCACCCGAGGGTTTGGCAACAGAGAGATAGTGGAGGACATCATCATCACTTACGCTCCAATTAACACAATGACCTTTCGCCAGCCAGCCAGCCAGCCAGCCAACCAGCCACCCAGCCATCGATGCAGCTGAGTGGTCTCACAGATCCCACGGGGGCATAAGGGGGTTAACCAGGGAGCTGGCCTTGCTGGCGGTGTGGGAACAATTTGAAATTCAAAGCAAACGTCAGCTGTAAAACAATTTATATTCACTTTGAATTGAGGTTTTGTTTCGCATTTTATTGTGTTGCAGGACAGACAGACATTGGGGTAAATATAGAGGGATATAGAGGGTTATGGTACGTGTGTGTCTCAGTTTCTTGCTGCCAACTTGACTCCTTTTAAATGTTTGCTGAACGTTACTACGTGTTGTAAACAACAGCAACAAAATTTGGCTGCAGCATACTAAGTAAATATAGAATTTGATTGAGTTCTTGCCCAGGCTGTAGAATATTTTTTGGTTTGTAAGCTGCATTATTTTCCGATTTCTGGCAAAGATTTAGATATATGCTTGCAGTGACGCAATTAACATAAAAAAAAACTGTTAAAGCCAAAATAAGAGATTTATAAATAACACAAAAAAATTTAATGGCCCGGGGCGAATTTTTACTATTACTATTCATTTTAAATTTTTTCCATACCTTCAAAAGTTTTCAAGCCGGAGGGCATAAAACTTTTTACTCTCACACAATTGCAAGCTTTGTATACATACTTAAATGTCAAATTAGCCACGAATTAAAAATGTCAGTTGAAAAAGTTGAAGGCTCCACTCCGCAGAACTTACTCCCCCTCCCCGATCCTGCAGTAAACTTTAACTATGACGGACATTCGATTGGTTCGTGGAATAAGTTAAAGTGCATTAACCCCTCGATTTGAGTCGGCTGAGTGGGGATCAATACACGCACTTAGTGGTAGGGAGGGGGGTTCGTGTCACAGTAATTGAGTTTATTAAATAATCACAAATATCGATTGGTTTCAATTGGTTTTCCTTTGCTCTCGACTTGAAAGAGTCGGGTCGTTCGCATGAAAAGGGCCGATTGGACAAAACAAATGCGAAATGTTAAAAAAAGTTTATTATGCAACAAGCTTGATTGACTGACTGACTGTCAGACGAGAAAAGACCCTAACACACACAGGTTGGCAGGCCAAATTAGTCATTAAGCGATGCTCTCAAAGTGCCAGACGTATTGAGTGCAATGCAGGTCGAGAGAACACTACAGAACCGATGGGGCTGCAATGTTAAGAAAGTGCTTACACATGGAAAAATATAATACTTTCTGAGCTGAGTAATAAAACTAGACAGTTCCAGAAACCCGTTCAAATATATTCTCTTTAACAAAAGGGATCTTTTAAGTTAAAAAACCAATTGAGCTTCATAATTTTCATATTTTAGTACAAATTTATAAAAAATCTTGGTACTGTTTCGACATATAAAAACCATCAAAGTGATCTGATCAAAAAAAGATGCTTTTTGCCGTGCAGCACAAGGGTAAAAGACGTAAAAAATTGGCAAAAAGGACATAGAATCCTTTCTGCATTGGGTTTGACGTTGAGGGACATAAAAATTTCCGTTCTATGTAAGCGGCTTGCCTTTTTTCATACTGCTCCTAACAATGTTACTTGGACATATGTGGGATGGCGGTGGTGGGGCGGACATGTAGGTAAAACGTGTGGAACGTCGAGAGCATCTTGCAGTTTATGTATATGGCCTTTAGATTGAGTTTGCACGAATGTACACAAGTTGTTCGAATTCGCATTTGAATGGGAAATTTCTTTTAGTGGCCAACGAGGACGACGGATGTGCCTCCTTGAGCTGTGGACTGGACTGGATCTCTGTCTGCAGGTCCATCTGTCTGCACGGCATTCTGCATGCCTGTCTGTCTGTCGTTGGGCTTAGCCATGACATAAGATTTTAATCAGCATAAAATTTTCGATATTCCGTTATTTCTTCGATTGCTTTTCCCCTTTTGACATATACAAAAAAAATATGGTAAGTTGGTCAATGGAAAATGGAATTTCATATTTAACAATCCTTGGCCTGCTTATTCGAGTCCATGCTGTTTAACCTATTTGCTTTCGATTTTCATATTGGTGAAAGAGTGGTTGCCAGTTTATCTATTAAAGTCGTAAAATGTTTTGAAGAAAAATAATATACCCGAAATACAAAAAGATGCCATATTTAAATAATGAAGGTTTGATTGAAAACTGAAAGGAAATCATATTGAAAACATTTTGCAGTAAGACTACAGTTGAAGTGAGTAATTTTAAATAAGATACACATTGGTATTAATTAGTAAAAAAAAAACACAACAAAATATTAAAAAGCTCGTAAACATGATCAGAAAAAAGGTGTTTAAATCCGAAAAGAGGGTTAGCCTTAAAGAGCTTAAGCATTGTGTTGACTATTATATTGTTGCAACCGCAATTCCTCGCTAACACGCTTTCCCTTAAATCGCATCAATTTTAAACGCAACAGACACTTCACTCCGCACACAAACACACGAGCATGGACACAAACACTCGTAAGTTATTCCACCTTAATTATATTGCAACACCCCGGACTCGACCCCCAACCGCTTAAACCTCTGCTGCCGATCCGTGCCGAACCGACCCATTCCGGCCCACAACAACAACCCGTTCCGACCCAATTCGAGGCACATCTCGCGCCCAGGTGCCTGAAGGTCCATGTAACACAATGTTTTATGTACTGCCCGTACAGTGTGAGTGTGTGTGTTCCGATGTAAGCATGTGTGTGAGTGAGTGTGTGTGCCGGTGTGTGCGTGAATTAGTTATGAAGCCAAAGTCAAAGTGGGTCAGCAGCAGTTCTTCTTTTCCCGCTGCAGTTCTGCCTCGAGTTGCCGTTACTGCATTCGAGTGTGGCCATATTTTTAGAACGCCGCCAATGCCAATTTAATGTTATTGCGTATACGTGCCGTTCGCCGGCATTATCAATAGTCGTTGAGTACTGCGTGCACAGAGACAAAAGCACAACAATATCTATTCTTTATGGAACGCTAAGGCTTGATTTCACATTTTAATGTCAGATTGAACTAAATTCTTTACAGACGATACTTGACACTCAGTTAGTTACACAACGGTTACAAAGTCATCCATAAGCCTTTATAGTACTTGTAAACAGTATTTCAAAAAATTTAAATATTTAATTTGTTCAATTAATACGGAAATGATCAAAATGAAGGCAATAAAACACAAAGTCGAAGACAGGACTTCTTGTTTTTTGTTCTCAGTGCGTTTTTGCATTATTGTGCATTTGCAGCAGTTAAAATTGTAATTAAATTCAACACCCGCACATGTGAAATGTAAATTATGTATGCATGTCACAGACGCCTTTCCACAATAAAATGCAACACGAGATGGAGACAACAACTGCAGCCCACATACATTTCAATTTGTAGGACACTCGACCAAAAACAGAACCCAAGAAGTACAAGCTCTCGGCACTTAACCTTCTGCCCGAAACAGAACAACTTGAGATGGAGATGGCGATGGCAATGGTGCTGGTGATGGTGATGGCATCCCGCTGCCATGAGTGTGACCTTCATCAAATCAACGAAAGGTAGCTGCTTTTGCTCCGGCTTTTTGCTCCTCGCTGTTTGCCAGGCAAATTAAAAATTCAGCACAAGACTGAGGGCGGCGACGACCTCAGTGATATGCCAAAGGTTGTTCGCGGCTGCTGGTCGGACTCGACCTGTCTCGATTTCACTTGAAATGAGAAAAAATTGTTCGCAGTCGGAGAACTCCAAGGGCGCAGCGCACAGAAAGCAAAAAAAAGTAAATTAAAATTGTCTGTTTATTTGTTCAAAATTCCGGCAAAGCAAAGAGTCAAAAATGCTGACTTGGCGGGAGTTCTTTAAAATCCGGTGTGTGTGCTTGTGCCAGTGGCGGACTTAGGTGGTTCTTAAAGGGTTAAAACGCTATTAAAAAACCTTGTAAAAATTCATATTCAATTTAGTTATATTCTTTGAGGCATAAATGTTTACTGATTCATATAGTTCATAAAATTAAAAATATTTTATATAAATTTAATATTTCCTTAATGTTCAATTAAAATGTCTTTAACTTCATGTAATATTGTAAGCCAATTATGTCCAGACTTATATCAATCCAAGCAGTCAAATAAGAGCCTAAAAAACATTTTTGGTAGGTTAGGTGTTAAGCAATCCGATCCTCGTAAAAACTTTTCTTCTATTTAATTCAAGCTAGTAAAATATAAAGCTGTAAGTATTGATTGATAAATAAATTAAACGCATAGCTCTAAAAGTAAGTTTATGATCTTCTTACTAAGTGGCAGTCAAATATTACTGTAATAATGC